TCCTTCGTCTCCCACTGCTGCAGCTATCGCTGAGGGGGGTGGATGTGTGGGAGTGTACGGAGTGGTGCTAGGGGGGTGGAGTGTGAGTAGAGCTAGGGTTTGAACAGGGGGTGTGTGAAATGGGGGTGGGACAGTTGGAGGAGGTTGAATGGAGGCGGTTGTCGTGTCGTCAGCAGCAGCAGCAGTCCGGAGGCTACAATCTCCGGTAGTCGCCAGTCGCCCGTGGGTCCGTTGCTCGTCTGCCGCTACTTTTAGCCGCGGGGCCAGTTACCCCAGTAGTCCGGAGCGCTGTTCCGGTAGCCACTGAGCCAGCAGCTCGTCTGTGTGTCTGCAGCGTCAGCAGTCGCCTCCCATCTTCTCTCCCCCACAGTCTCTCCTCCTCCTCACTTGCCCTCTGTGATAGCCTCTAGCTTTGCTTATATTTGTTAACTATAAAACTGCTACCTCTTGTACTTGTGCTCAGAATGTGTGGTGACATTGTGATCCACCCTGAGCTTGTTTTCTTTTGCTTGCTCTGCTGATTACACCCCACTTTGGCTATGGGGGTGTGTCAGAATATTATGCTCTAGCCTGTAGTGGGGTGCTCTATAGCGAGTACAACTCTTCTAGGGTTTTGCTATTTGTATCCCCATTCTTGCTAGTGCAACCCTCTTCTTTCTTCTAAACTTTAACATCCATGTCTTCTAGTAGTAGCCCTTCGTCTAGTAGTGATTGCTGAGATATGTAGTAGTAGTAATGTAGTTCGAGTTTGCTACTACTAGAGAGACATGGAAGGTTAACTATATATGATGTTATGTGATCATTTTTGTGAAGTCTAAGAATGGGGAAAAAATTATGGTACGGGGAAAAATTCACCCCATTGTGACATAGGTGCATGTTCCCCACCCTCCCCATGCCCCTTGGAACTTTTTTTGGTCTGCCCGAACTTTTTTTTGGCCTGCCCGGGTTTTCGTCTAGTACTGCGTCTAATCCAGCCTCACTAGCGTCTAGCGTCTTAGACGCTGCGTCTAGACGGACGCGTCTAAGACGCTAGATGCGTCTTCCTAGGGATGGGCATTTGGCCCGGACGGGTCGGGTTACCCGACCCGACCCGCCCAAAAGGGCGGGTTGGGTCAGGAATGCTGAGAATGTCGACCCGTCCGGGTCGGGTCGGGTTTACCCGGGCGGGTCGGGTCGACCCGTGACCCGTCAATGTGATTTATAGACGGGTATCAGCGACCCGCCGGGTCGGGTTGACCCGTCCCGTCCGGGTCGCATACCCAGTCAAATGACAGGGTTACCCGACCCGTTCTCTGATTAGGGTACACTTTGGAGAGGGGGAGAACATCAGTTGGTTTTGATGTTTTCTTTCCCTCGACATTCAGATCCAATCTCTAGACTAGATCAAGCTAGTAAATCTGCACTGCACCTACCAAGACTCTTACAGTCTTCACTTCAATGTTTGCACTATATTCATTATAGGCATAGGCGCTTCCGCCATTACGCAGCGTCGCACGACCAGGAACGCAGCAGCGCGATCTCGGCCCCGCATTTGCGCAGCGCGATCGCGGCCCCGCATATGCGCGATCGCGGCACCGCATTAGGGCAGCGCGATCGCGGCCACACACATGTAGTTTACAATGTAGCAATTCAGACCTAACCCCAATACCCTGCTGCTATGTAGCATATTTTTATCCGACCCGACCCGACCCGTGGTGTAACCGACCCGGTTACGGGTCACAAATACCCGTTCCAACGGGGCGGTTCGGGTCACCAAAACAGAGTCAAACCCGACCCGCTGACCCGACCCGACCCGACCCGTTAAGCTAACGGGTCGCCCTAAACGGGACGGGTTGGGCCGCGTCAGACCGGATGCCCATGCCTACGTCTTCCGCAACTTAGCCTTGCACTATGGGACCTCATTCATCTTATCCGCCTTTTATGTGAATTCTACCGGTTGTTCTCTTGTCGTCGTCGTGTCACATTCTACTTTGTCCTTCATTCCACTCCCCCGTCCACCTATCCCCACATGCCCCATCAAGCAGCAACATATCAGACACGGGCCTCACATGCCGCCCAGCTGCTGCCAGCTGTGTGGTTCGGCAGTCCAATGACACGGGCTTCTGCCGGGAGTGCAGCAGCTTCTGTACAGCATGTGTGACTAATAAAGGTGAGCCAGTCAACTCTGTGACCTGCCAGCCTGCTTAAGGATAAGCCATCAGATGTTTAGTGTTCGAGAGTTCATTTATACCCACATTCTCTAGTGAAAGGTACAAATTGGGTAAACCTGGAGCCAAACCTGGAAGCGTAGAGCTGTGATGTTTTGACTAAACCACCTCACATGGGTGTTCACCAAGTACCACTCTCAAATAGCCCCATTGGGCTAGTGAACCAGCCCAACTACATGCTATAATTGGGTTCTGTTGCTCTTCTGAGCTAATGTCAGCTTTTTCAAAACTCTACGTTTAAGTTCTCCCACTCATCCTTCTCTGCAGTGCTTGTTAGCACATTCTTGTCTGCCTAATCACATCACGCATAACCAGTTACTACTGCCTTTGGTTTTCTGTGTGCATGTGCATGAACCAATTCAGCTCCAACCCCACCAAGAGTTGTTGCTTCTCCTCCTCCATCACCACCCCCTGCATCTCCTTCCCTGACCTCACCACCACCACCATCACCCACTCAAATCACCAACACCACCTCCTCTCCATCTTCCTCGCCCCCTTCCTCCTCTGACGTCTCCTCCCCCTCCGGGCTGTCCGTGGGAGCTATCATTGGCATCGTGGCAGCAGCCATCCTGCTACTGATTCTCCTTGTCGGCACTGCTTGGTGGATCGTCTCACGTACCACAGCATCCTACAAAGGTGGCATCCTTACTCACCCACCTTATAGGTGGCAAATCATCATACAACAAGTGCCTGTTGCGCCTTCACGGGATGGCCCTTCCATGTGCTGGTACGAACAGTTACCCTTGTTGCCTTTCCCCGTGCCGGTGGCCCTTCCCCGCCCCCTTCTCCCAACAGCGACAGTCGTCTCCAGCTTGCAGAGTGCACCCACCTCATGCCACCAGTACTCACTGGCCGTGGTGGCTCGTGCGACAGGCAACTGGTCCAAGGAGTGCCTGCTTGGGTCGGGCGCGTATGGAGACGTATACCGCGGGGTGTGCCCCGAGGATGGCACCACGCTGTGGGCTGTGAAGCGTGCCAAAGTCATCACCACCGACTTCCACATAGAGGTGGGGGGCGATAGGACTAGTTGCGGGAGAGGCAAGATCTAACTGTGGAAAAAAAAAAAAAAAAAAAAAAAAAAAAAAAAAAACATCGAGGGTGTGTTTGTGTCTAGAAATTCCAACGTCCCACGTTTGCATTGTGAAATGATGTGGTGGATTCTTTTCCCTCGATACATTCGCAGGTGGCTCAAATGGCCACAAAGCACCACCCCAATCTGGTGCGGCTGCTGGGGTATGCAGTGGGAGGCCATGTGAACAGGCGGGTGGAGAATGTCCTTATCTACGAGTTCATTGCCAATGGTGACCTCCAGGGGTGGATCAGCACAGGTAGGTACCAAGCTTTGTGTGTTACTTTATCTATTTGTTCATTTTATCTCATATGCGTTTTTGGAAGTTTGACTTCAGTACAAAGAGATTCGAGACGAGTGAAAATGGAAAGGGAGTTAAATCTCCAATGGCGAGCTGGCAGATAAGTCGAACTTTGTTCGATATAGTATGGTATCTGATCAAATGAGTCGCGTTTTTAACTAAACATGGTCGGAAAGCATTAAGATAGTTCAGCTGAGCTGAGCTATGCATGTTGAGTGCAATACGTGGTTTGCATGTCAACCTCTCGCCTATGCGTTGACGATGAAGGAACAGGTTGCACTCTTGGGCGATCGTGAATGTTCATGTGCGAATGCGTGTAATTCCGAGATTTTGTGTGCGTTTATGCTATGTTGACAAAAACGCCTAGGCCTTTTTTCGTATCACGTTTATGCGCTCACGTATATACGGAAAAACGTGATGCGGGGACAAATATGCGGTACGCATGGACGGGCAGCCCGTCAAAAAAAAAAAAAATGTTGCGACCGTTCTCGCGATCAGCAATTCTCCGTAACCTAATTTTGACATTTGAAAGTCGAATGCCTTCCCCCGCACCCACCCCCCCCCTTCCACCGCACACAACCTCACACCACCTCCCAAACCCAACCCTTCCCTTTCAACCACACTTTGACTTTCACGTAGATATGAGCAACGAGCGAACCGAACACGTTTGACTCGAACTGTTGACGAACACTTGGTCATGTCGAACCGAACCGAATACGTTTGTCCAAAACAGTTTTCCTAAATGTTAGTATTCCTTGTTCGAGTATAGTGTCGAACAGTTTTGGGGCATGGCCGAACACTAAGGTGTTTGACACGAACTCGAACAGTTTGCCATGGGGGGTAATCACATTCAGTGCATGTAAGAAACTCAGGGCGCGTGTTCTACAAGCAAAATCAGAATGTAAATAAAGATAGCAACGAAGATCCGCAATGCCTCGCGCTCATGGTCTAGTGAATAAATTAGTCAACAGCTCAAACTCCAGGGCAAGGTCAAGTCGAGGACATGCAAAACAAAGCCAGACAGCACCAAGTCCCCATGCAACTCCCTCACTCAGCTCCGGTTTCTCCCCCCACAGCATCAGCCTCCTCCTCATCCCCCTCATCTAGCCCCTCTCCCTCCAGCGCCAACTCTGGTGGTGCCTGCTCTCCACTGCGGCCGGTTTCCTCACCAATCCCAGGGTGTGACGTGTACCATGACCTGAGAGTCATACTCGCGCTAACACACTCAGTGTTCAGCCTATGCCTGTGCAAGGAGATGAGGTTCCTCCCCATGGAGAAAGCTCGCTTGCTAGCTGCAGAGGTGGCTGGGATAACGAGGTAATCCCGTGCCATCTGCCTCAGCGTGTCCATGTTCCTCGCACGCTGCCAGTACTTCAGCGCTGGCACGTCCGAGACAGGCAGCTCCGCTAAGTACCGATCCACCTCATCCCCCACCGACGTCCCCCCCCCCCCTCGCTCTCGCCGCTGCACTAGCTGAAACACGCTTCTGCAGCTGCGCCCTAGAGAACACGAACTCGTTGTCGTCGTCCTCGAACTCTGTCACCACTGCTGCTGGTGGTGCTGGTGGTGGGGTGGGAGCATCACGTGCTGCTCGAGCCTGGTACTCCTCCACTCGGCGTCGCACCAAGCTCACCACCCTGTCCGCACTCATACGTGGCTTAAGCCGCCCACCCTCACTTGCCACTATGCCTGGATGCTGAAGCTCCCAGTGTGTCATCCTGAAGTACTCGGCCTTCATGGACGAATCCAAGAAGGTCGCGATCCAGTACTCGTCCCCGGCGGCAAACTCGTACTTCTTCAGGTGCTTGAGCGCGGCAGCCATGAGTGGACGAACTAGTTGATGCGTGCCTGTGTGCAGCTTCTTCTCCAGGCTGTCGATGAGGGCGTGGAAGTACGGCAGCACCATCGACACAGTGGGGTAGGTCGACCCCTCGGCGGCCGTGGAGACTCTGGCAAAGGGACGGAGAAACCCCTCCAAAGCCCCCAAGACCTCCCACTCGGCATCAGTCACACGCAGATCTCGCCACTTCTTCTTCTCCTCCTTCGTGGTGCCCTGTGGATAAGGTGTGTGCGAAAGAGAGGGTGGGTGGGATGACGTTGGGTACGTCATGTGTTTAGACTTGGGGAACGGTTGGACACCCAACGGATTCTGGCAATCTTCAAAGCAACAGCCCTAACGCGATCAATCAACCAAGATTGCAATGCATACGAACGGAGTCGTACCTGCTCGCGGGCAAAGTGCATGTCGATGAAGGGCCTCAACAGCAAGAACTGCTTAACCATCTCGTGTGTGGACCCCCTGCGCACTGGGCTGTCCTGAACGAGCTTGTGCGGCCCATTGGGCAGCGGTCCATGCCGAACCTGCAGCGCAATGAAGGCGGCTCCTCGCTTGGGCGACATGCCCACCTACGAGGCAATGTCTCGCACCTTCTTCAGGGGCACCTGCATCGAGTCCACACCCAACCTAGACTGCACTGCCAGGTTCACGATGTGCGACAGACACCTGCATTGGATTGGAGGGGTACATGTCTCAAACAAGCGAATGTGGACACAAACGTGTTGAGGCGCGAACGGAAGGAAGAGAGACAAAGTTTAGCATTAGTCGATGTTGATGGGAGAGAGTACATGTGAATTTGCCTACAAACCAGACCTGTAGTGAGCCTTCTCGCTGAAGTAGCCCGAGAAGTCACCCTCCTCCGAGAGGTGCCGAAGAGCAACGACGTTTGCAGATGCATTGTCGGTCGTGAGACCGAGGCAACGTGTCTGCAACTTCCACTGCTCCACCACCTTCTCCACCGCCGTAGCGATATCCTTCCCCCCATGCCCACGAGGCATCTCGACGAAAGCAAGAATCATCTGGCGCAACTCCCACTGCTCCGACACGAAGTGACCTGTCAGCACCATGTAGGCCTTGCTGTTCGGGCCTGTCCACATGTCGGTGCTGTACGACACGGCACAGGTTGTAGAGGCCAGCTCCTCTGCAATAGCCGCCTCGAGCACCAACTCAGCAAGGACAACGGTGTCGCGCGCCACCGTCCAGCGTGATGGGATCACGCCCTTTTCCCCACACTTTTCGTTCAGCAAGATCAGCAGCTCCTTGAACTGGGTTAGTATATACAAGCACGAGGAGGGTTGAATAAGGTGGAAAGCAATTCGGTAATAGGGGCATGGCATGTGCTGCATGGGTGACCGTTTCTCATAAGCAAACATGATGGCGTGCGAGCATCTTCGGCGTTGATGCCATGGCTGGACTGCAATGAAGTAGCACATGCGGCCAGCAATCTCAATCCACCTAAGCGTAGCTTACAAGAGAGGAGGTGCAATCCACCTAAGCGTAGCTTACTCACCGCATCCAGCTCGACGATGCGAAAGGGCAAGTCGCCGGTCACCACAAGCTTCGTGATTGCCGCACGAAGCTTCATCTTGCTCAGCCTTGCCGTAACAAAGCGCTCAATGCCGCCTGCCTCGCCCTTCGCGCTAGGGGTCTGCAACGCCGGCACATTGGGCCACGAGGCCACGTGTGGCAAATTCTTCACCTTCTTGTCGGGAACTCCCTCGTAGCCCCCCTCCGGGAAGGACTCCCCCTTAGTCAGTAGGTGTGGCCTTAGTGACCTATACTCCCAAATGTCGTGGTGCGCAGTGTGCTTCGCAACCATGTGGCGCACCCCTGGAGTCGTAGTGCCCGTCGACCAACAGATACGGGTGTCCAGATCTTACACCCCCAACAGATACGGGTGTCGACCATGTGGCGCTTCTCATCCGCCCCCAATGGCCCAAACATCTGGACCTGCCAACCCGGGGCCTTCTTACCCCCTTTCTTGGCCTTTGTAGGCCCATCATTCTCATCTAGTACCGACGCAGCCACACCATCCTCCTCCCCCCCCTGACCTTGTATGCCTTTACCCTTGCCCTTCTTCTTCCCCTTCCCACTGCCATTGGCCTTCCCCTTGGCCTTCCCTGGCTGGGACACCTCCTCCTCCTCCTCTGCAGCCTCCTCACCACTATCCTCTCCCTCCCCCTTCTCCTCCTCCTCCTCCTGCCCGTTCTCCTCCTCCTCCCCGTTCTCCTCCTCCTCCTCGTCGTCATCCCCCACCCCCGCACCCTCCCCATCTTTCTTCGGGTCATAATCCTTGTCATTGCTATCGGATGGACTACGCTGGATGCGTGGGCGCTTCTTTTCCAGCCGCCACTCTCCAGCCAATCCCTTTGGCTTCCCCCCCCCACCACCACCGTTGACCTTCCCCCCACCCCCCCCCCCCCCCTTTCCGCATCCTCCTCGGCCTCCTCTGAATTTTCCTCGATCTCATCACGAGACTTCCCATAGGGTGCAGCCAGCCTCCCGCCACTAAACCTGTAGCTTGCTGGTGATGTGGGGACGTCTAGGTATTTCCCCCCTATGAGTTCGGGAGGTGCGAGAGGGCTTGCGGTCCCAGTTGCAGTAACTAGTGCGGATAGGCCAGGAATGGCCTTGTCTTGGCTGCTACCCAACCCTACATCAACCATTTCGGAATCCATAATGGCCTAGCCTAAAAACGGTGGAAAACAAGGTGTTCTTCACATTCACTAAAGCCCTACAATAGTTATAGTAAGGCTTGGCGCTGATCTGATGGGAATCAATGTCGCCTTGCTAAACTCAACCCTAAAACGGAATGCTCAATATTTCTGTTTTTAACCGTTTCCTAACCTAATCTACCCTTTTACTTCACTTTTCTAGCCGCAATGCGGACTTTAAACCGTGGGAATGGTGCAGTTTAAGTGGGTAGTGGGCGGAAAGCTATCCTTAGTGGAAATCGACGATTGAGCCCAAGAATGAGCTCAATCGTCGACCCCCCCTTTTAGATCCAACCAGCGCGTCAAAATTTGACGCGCTGGATATCGGCGAACACCTAGGTGTTCGTCACGAACATTTTTGGCCAAAAACAAAACCCCTGTTCGGTTCGAGTCGAACAGTTCGACTCGAACCGAAGGGGTTCGGGATTTTGCTCATATATACTTTCACGTCGGCAGCTTCAAAAACCTATGTCGACCGGTAATGTCGCAGCTGGACGGCAGTAGCCAGAGGGGCGCAGATCTTGCATTCCGCCGCCAGATCCGCGCGATTCTAGTATTTCGCCAGCAGATCGGCAAGAAACTTAAAAAATAGGGACCATCACTCACTCCCTGGTACCCTTTTCCCCTGCCCGGGACACCGTATTTTGAGCGTATCGAGGGGGCGGAAATCCATCGTACGACGTACGTACGTTGGCGTATAGTACGAACGCGACTGGTATGCCAGTCGCGTATATTCCAACATAGCGTTTACGCTGTTTCGCGAGTTGTGAATGTGCGTGAACTTGGTGTTTGCGAGTTGTTCATGAATGGTTATGAGCGTTCATGTTAGTTCGCGTTTTTTGTTTTTCATGTGTGCTCGTGAAGAATCGCGAGTGCTTTGTGGGGGGCCACTGTTTGCCCCTCAGATTTTTTTGTGCTGGTCAAGGTAAAAAGCGCGTGAGAATTTGGACCGCTCTTGGGGTGTTGATCTCGCGTGTGGGCCCCCAGGGCCCGCGCGTGTGCCTCGCACTGTTGCGAGCGTGCGCAGTGTGCACGATCGCAACAAGACAGGGTGAATGATCGCCCTGCCCTCGCGTAGGATAGCGCACATTCGCGATGTAAAGCACGACCGGAATAATCTGGTCGTGCATGATTGCGACCCTCAGGGGTGCTCGTGGGTTTTGGGGGGTGCCGAGGGATCCTGAGGGGTGCTCGGGATTCCCTAGAGAATTCAGTTGAAAAACGGAATCTCGAGCCTCGTCTGACGTGAACATGAATTTTCGCCGGAAAGTCGCGGCCATAACGCAACCGTTTCATTACAGGTACAAAACAATGAAAACCGGTTTTCAACTAGCCCAGGGAAAACAATATTGTCACACGAAGCTTCTTAAATACCAATGCGAGGTTATGAGTGCTCCTGTGATGAGTCAGCAGAGGCGTTTTTAGGAAGTGCAAATCGAAAACAGTTTTTTAAAGGAGGCGAACTAAACCAAAACCTGGACATCCGATTTTCAACATGCTAGGGGTGTGGGCGGAATAGGCTAGGAGAGGATGAGCGAAGAAATGAGCTCAATGCCCGAACAATCTTTTGTCAAGTCGAACATGTTCAGTTCGTCAGATCTTGACAAAACAGGTCTAGCCGAGCATGTTCGTCTCAACCAGTTCACCGTTCAAGTTCAACATTTTGGGGGGGAAAGGGGGACCCATGTTCGGTTTGACTTTGCTTTTGTTATTTCATCCCTATTTAGAGGATGTGCATTTCGTAGTGTAACGGGGGAAACGAACACCGTTTTTGTCTATGAAGTGCTACTTACACTAATGCCATTGCACCATCCATGTATCATCGCGTTTCCCCCAGATGCTTCCACATGTCTGACTCTCCTGCAGCGGGTGAACATCCAGATAGGTGTGGCGCATGGCTTGGAGTATCTGCACAGCTTTGGCATCGTGCACCGGGATATCAAGCCAGCCAACATCCTCATCGATGCTCACATGCAGGTGGAATTACGATTCAGTGATGCTCTGCTTTTGTATGGCACATGGTGCATATGTGCTATCCAAACCCTCTGTTCCGCTTTTGGTTTGCCTGCCTTGGGTGGTCTCATTAGGCCAAGCGTAGCGGGCTTTTAACCTGGTGCATGTGGGGTCGATTTCTGAGTCGACTCATAAGGTGGCGGGCTTTTAACCTAGTGCATGTGGGGTCGACTTTTGAGTCGACTCAGAAGTCAGCTCGTTACAATGTCACACGTCGTTTTCTCCACACGTAAGGATGTTCTTGCTTGGAGGTTACCATAACGAGTTGGTAAAGTTCCGTTTCCGCTCAGAAGTGCTAGTTTATTGTAGAGTTTCTTTCTACTGTTTTCATCCAGCCTTTCCCTTACCATCCTGGCTCCGCGAAGGAATGCCTCGCGATGGAGCCCTTGGGGTTGGTAGATTTAGCCTTGTTGCGTGTCCTTTCTTCCCTTATTGCCAACCTTTCTTACACAAAGGATATTTTAAGCAAGCATATACAACAAAAACGTTTTTACACAAAGCTGCTACCTGAAGCTCCCTCGGGTCTATCCTCGAGGCGCCTCACAAGTTGCCTCTTGTTTTGCTTACCTTGCTTGTCTCATCAGGCCAAGGTAGCGGACTTTGGGTTGGTGCGAGTGGGGGAGGGCACTGCACTGGGCTCTACACGAGTGCTTGGAACGGCCGGCTATGTGGACCCGGCCTATTCCAGAACACACAACGTCACCACTGCTGCTGATGTGTACAGGTGCCATGCTGATGTGCACAGGTGTCATGCTGATGTGCACAGGTGTCATGCTGATGTGTGCAGGTGTCATGCTCGTATGTCCTCAATTTCTCCCCATTCTAGCCCTTGCTTCATACTTTTCTTCGCCTTTGCTTAGCTAAACCTTGCGTGCTCTCCATAAATTTCACCTTGCAAATTTCACTCCGTTCTCCGAACTTTGCAACGTTTAATCTCCTGTCTTGTGTGCACCCTTAGGTTGGTTTCCTCCAGCTTTGGCATTGTGGCGCTGGTGCTGCTGTCAGGTAGAGGAGCCACGGTCACTGAGGTGCACCCGGGCAGTGAGCTGGATGAATCAGAGTACAATGAACCAATCTCCATCTCCAAATGGGTATGTCGTTCACTCTCATCTTCATGCAGTTGTCTCAGTTCTCTACCCCTCAGCTATTGAAACTTTTAGGCAGGAATTGTCACCATCTCCTTGTTTGCTACCTGTGCCGAACGGTTTGTTTTTTTTTCTGCCCCCACCCAACAGGCAGGTGCACTCGTAGCTGGTGGGAGGACATCACTCCTCAAGGACCCGCGTCTGGAAGCACCAGATGACATCATCAGTCGCCTTGCCCAGCTGGCTGTGAGCTGCACTGCCATGCCCACCGCCTCCCGCCCCTCCATGTCCCGTGTGGTCCAAGAGTTGGAGGCACTGAGGGGGAAAGTGGGAGGGGGGGATGTGAGGGCAAGCGCTGCAGCAAAGGTAGATGAGATGCTGGTGGGTCAGCGCCCTACAAGGAGCATGGAGGAGGACCTTGCGTTGCTGGAGCAACACTATGCTGGCCAGGGCAAAACCACAGCTAACGTCACAAGCCATCAGGGGAGCACAGGTTCTAGTGGGAAGGAAGATTGAGGGTTGTTATGGTGATGGTCAGCGGTTGAGGGGATTGCTCGTTGTAGCAGCAGCAGGTCCAACTGTGTGGCCAGTAGTTGCTTTGTCATTCTTCATTTTATTGAACTGGCCAAATCTCCCCGAGGGGTCCTCCTTGGCCAATAAGGCATTTAATGCGGAGATAACTACTACAACATGAGCTAGACTACGGGCTAGGCACGGATGCTCGTGTGATCTCTGCATTCGTTGGTCCTTAGTCGTTTTCCTAGTGCACATACAGCTTGCTAGTTCACAGGGAGAATTGGCAAGAGTTTCACTAGAGAAAGTTGACAACAATGGTACAAACAAGTTGGCATGGCAAGACTACATCAGAGCTAGCATTCAGGTCGGTCGACTGCCAGCGCAGCTCGGTCGACCGCGTTCCAGCACGACTTGGACGACCGCGCTCCAGCAGTGCAAAGTCGACGGCGTGCCAACGTCGCAGGTTGACGGCGTGCCAGCGATGCTCTCGCAGAACAGCAGCGCACCTACTTCGCAGGTGCTCGCAGATGATTGGCGTGCTGTGCCTCGTCACCTGCACAGCGCACGCACCATGTCAACCTGACGCTGACGACTGCATCTGATCAGCCACGTCGACCTCGGGATACCACCACCGAGGTCGGACTCGCCAACTTCGCCTGGGCGACCGTCGCACTCCTCCGCAGAACCTCGTCACCCAGGTAACCTGGTCGACCAGGAAACCACGTCGACCAGCTGCTCCCGTACGTGCCCGTCGACCTCCCAAGTCGACGACCACCTCCAAGTCGACCTCACCAGGTCGACCACACCCCTGGTCGACCAGCTCCAGGTCGACGTCACTCCTGGTCGACCAGCTCCACGTCGACCAGCACAGTCGTCAGCCGACCACCCAAGTCGGCTACCCGAAGTCGGCGTCGCCAAGTTGACGCCCTGCTACTCGACGCCCTGCTGCTTGGCGTCCTGTGTCGAGGTCGACGTCGGCCCCTCCTCCGTCGACCACCAGGTCTGGTCGACCAACCACCAGGTCGACCAGCGGGTCTGTCAGCCGACCACCAAGTCGGCTACCCCAGGTTGGCGTCACCAAGTCGACGCCCTCCGCAGGCCGACTTCCCAAGTCGACCTCCCTGAAGTCGGCGCCACCCTGGAGTCGGCGCCCGTACAGTGGTCTTCGTGCAGGTCGACCTCCTCGTCAACCAGCTCGCCCACTGCTGCAAGTCGGCTGCTCCCCTCTCACCCGACTACGAGGTCGGCTCCGCCCAAGCAAGGACGGGGCCAAACCCAACTCCCGTTGACATTTAAAGCCCAAGTACAACATGGTTGTTTTCAAGTTCAAGATTCTTGAACTTGAAATCG